AAAAAAACAACGAAAAGAAGCTTATCATATTTTTCTCGTATGATCTTCACAACTTATTATTGTTTTTTTAATGAATTCATTGTTTAACAACAATAAGTATTAAAAATTATTGAGATTATTAAATTTCTTGATGTAATTTAATGTGTAATTATAATCAATGTTGTACACATTTCAGTACGAGGAACGTTTGGATTTTAGCAAGAGAACCAAAGCCACCGGTTTCTGTTTTAGAGAAAGCTTATCAGATATTGGACAAAAATAACATAAGTAGAGCATATTTCATTCGTACGGATCAGAAGAATTGTCCTATAGGGAACTGAATAATATTTTATTAAATATCGAAGCACATTTATTTTATTCAAAACAACGTAGTTTTGTTTCATTGTAAAATACATTATGACATTTCTTTAAAGTCAGTAATAGGTTTTGAATATCACCAATTCCTGTGACTGTATGCTCAATTTGATCCGTGATCATTTAGTTATTGATCTTTAGTTATAATGTGAAATACATGTGATTTACTTTATTGATCGTTGGTAAAGAAAATTAGTAACTGGATACAATTATTTATAGAATCAAATAATTTTTAATGCTTTTGATACTTGACTTAACTATTCCTTACAAATTTACGATAATTGATCGAAAAGTTTTCAGTGAATAATTATTCGTCTAGATTGAAATTAAAATGTGCTAAAATTTCTATCCATGGTTGAAACTAAAAGGACAATTTTTAATACTGTAGCTTAGAATAACGCATTGTTATATTTATTTTATTTATTTATTTATATTGTATTAAATGAAGTGACACTAAAATGTGTGATAATAAACAATTATTTATCGAAATACATGAAAATGTTTTAAATTTTAATTTAACTGTACATTATAATCTTTACATTATATTGTTAATTAATTATATGTTGTAATTTTAATTTTTCAACAATTATAATTAAAATTTGAATGAACATAATGTTTTATATCAGAAAAATGTATGCATGGAAAATAAGTTTGTGCATCTTTATTGCAATTGATATATTACAAACAAGATATTTACATAATATTATTGTTACATTATCGATATAAAAAGAGGTTAATGAATATTATTATTCATATTAAACTATGAACGATATATCTTTTGCATAATTAACGAATGTTTAATTAAGTTACACATTAATCTTTCCTTTCGTATTGTCATGATGTAATCAACTCAGTCCACTCTAAATAATTGCTTTAATTTGTATAATTTTAGCACTATAACTAAAAATATCTGATGTAATTTTCTAATTAAAAATAACTGAAAAGTTTTTCTAAATTGCAAAAATACATATTTGGTGCACAATATTTGTTATTTATATATATCTTCTATATTTATGTATTTACCAATTAAGAACTATTTTATAATATATAGTAAATATATATTATGAATTTATTGAAAACATCTTCACGTTTAATAATAGAACTAATGTATAATTAATTAAATACCTCAGGTATGACAATAATTTATTAATTATATTTATTAATTATTTACATATTTTTATGTATGTATGTATCACATATATATAATATATATTTTTTTATTATATTATATATATATACATATTTTATATATATATATTTTTTTTTCTTTTTATGATTTATGTATATCATTCTCAATCATAGACGAAGTGTATACGTAGACGAGGTACCTCGTCTGTGAGTAGACATTGCATTTTATAGTACTTTGTATCCCATACTCTGAAATACCGACGCAGTAAAAAATCAGTGGTTTTTTAGCGCACTCTACGCTTAAATAACGGTGAATTAGAGAACTAGTAATCAAGTAAAATGATCGAGGTTGCTCAAATGAGCCAGATACATTATTTTTAAAATCCATTACAGATGAGGCATATGTCGTCTGTGCAACAGTGTTAAATTTTCAACATCGAAATGTAAAGCTAATGGAAATTATTCTACTACATATTACAAACTATCCATGTTCTATCATTAACTAACTTAGTCAATGGTTTTATAAACTTAGACTTAGACTTACGTTGGTTTTCTTTTATATAGTAAATTAAAATTCTGAAGTTATTGTAAATGTATTGAAAATTACAACTTAATTGAAATAATATATTCTTAGTTCGGCGTTAAATATTCTACGATTGTAACATTTCTCAATTATTTTTGCATTATAGTTTTTATATCACTTTTCCCGGGCAAATTTTAAATTTCGTAGTTCAACTACTTCCCGACTGGATAAAAAGAGCGTTGCTATCTCTTGCGGATGAGAAATACGCACGCAGCTGATGAAAACCACACAGAGATGGGTCGTATGCACGTACCAGGGTAAAATTATTTGAATTTTAGTGAAAATTATTATTACATTTAAAATTAGTTTTTTCTTTGCGTGCTTTTTAATTTTTTTCTTCTTTTTTCTATCAGAATATAATTTCATAAATTTTTTTGGATAAAAGATTATTACATTTTTTAGGTATTTTTTTAAAAATCGTGATAGTTACATTTTCTTAAGAATAATTTATATGTTGTAATATAAAGATGTTAACCAAATTCTAAGTAATTTTAAATTTGGAATCGAGAAGATTTATCTTTACAAATTTTTTGAAATCTTTATTTTCTTTTTATACACAATCTCAATTTATTTTTTTCAGTCATCTTAATATTTCTGAAGCAATTAATTAATTGTATGTTTCTTGATTCTTATCAGTATCATTTCTGCGTATACATTACATAATTGTTATTAAAAGGATGAATTAAAATTTTGCAGAAATTATATCCCAGTCGGCGTTACCGTACAGACGTAGTGTCCCTGGCTCAAATTAACTTCAGAGGATTGTAAAGAGTTGATTTATAAATTAGCTAAAAAAGGACATACTCCATCACAAATTGGTAATTTCTTTTCAACCGATATAGCTAATTTATTATAAAATTCTAAAAATGATTTTAGATATTAATATATGTTATATATTATAAGTTTCACATTTATTCCTTTTGTGTTTTGTTTATCAAAATTTGTTTAGATTTAATTTTTCTCAAGTCGATTTCAGGTACGTTTCCGTACTGGAAATAAAATCCTGAGGATAGTCAAAAGTATGGGTCATCGACAAATCGATGACTATCGATCATTGCATAAAACGTGATTAGAACACGTTTATATTTTTTTCTAAAACTTTTTTTATTGTTCGTTTGCACGATAATATAAAATTGTGAAAATTTTGCAAATACACATCAAAGGGAGAAAGGGTTCTTTTCGGAGAAGAAATTTAGATATGTTCTATGACCATATATTAATAAAACAAGTATTTTGTAAAATATAATCCTCCCCTCCCGTCTTCGCCATCGGTAAAGAGACTATTCTCATTTGGAACTTTAGCAGATGCTCCTCAAATTTTGTTCATTAACGGACCAAATGTTTGAAGTCCTGTTAAAAGCTAAGACAAATTTCTGGCGTGATAACGCACTCTAATAAATTATTTTGATTTTCATTGATTATTGTTTTTTTTTCATTTGAATATTTTGGTTTCATTTGATATTTATTTCGAATGTTGTTTTAAAGACAAATTTCCAATTATCAAATAAATATTATTTTCTTAAATAATCAGTTCTTCTGAATTTATTATTTTCCGAATTATTTGCATAGCTTCAAATTCCTTTAATTAACCAGGTGAGCTACATTCCATTAATGAGAGAGTGGAGAAAATTTCATGCACGGTGAGGAAATTTCAATGTAGTAGAAAGATCGATGCAATGGAGGAAGTAGCGCTAGCATTCAGAAAAGTAGAAGAAAGGACTGCCAGTTAGTTCTGCGCTATTGGATCAACTTTGATCATTTTATTTGTAACACTGATTACGAACATTTATATATTATGAAAAATTTAAGAATATAAAAAGAAAGAATGCACATAATATTAAAAGAATATATAAAGTATTTGAAGCAGAATACTTATTATAATGTTATTTAGAAAATATTATAGTATTATATTATATTATTATATATTTATTTATATTATTGTATTATTTGGAAACTATTTAAGTTTTCTACAGTGATGATCATAAAAGCATAAAACATCTATAATTATAAGAAATTTGATTATTTACAACTTTCTTTGTGAATTACAATATAACAATAAATATAAATAATAAATACAAATTTAAATTTAATTAAAAATATTATTTTCATATTATTTCAATTATTTTAAATTACAATTAAATATCAATTTAACAACAGTAGCGTTAAATAGTAATTTATTGCTTACTCTTTTTTGCTTTGCATAAACAATTGCAAACGAACAGTTGTGCAAACACATAGGAGAAATAATGGAATCCTATAGGAAATAGAAATTCTGAAAGTACATTTATAAGGATTTTCACACGGTAGTATAATATTGAATTATGCTGAAAGTACAGGCGCGCTTGAATTGTTATTTTGTCCCACGTTAAAAATGCAGGAAATAGACACGAAAGAAATAAATCGAGCGTCCACAGTAATGAAAACTCCGCGTCACAATACTGTTAAATTAAACAAATAAAACGTAGGGGGTGTGGTCGTGTGTTAGGTCTATCCCTAACGCCACGTGTCATCCGAGCAAACAGATACCATTCAATTCATTGCAGAATCTGCAGGATGTCATCAGCTGCGCATTGTGCATGGAAAAGAAAATCCCACGAAATACTCCACAAAAACAGAATCGCGTAAAAAAGGGGACATACGCAGACCATATTTAATTATGATTAACTATCTCCTAAAATATGGTTATCGAAATGAAAATAACTTCAGCATTTCAGCAAGGGAGAAACGTTGTTCGAACGCACAAGTTGGATAATGTTAAATTAAAATTATTTCCGTCTTGTAAAATTCTAAAAAATTTATTTATTGTTACATTCATGTTTAAGTTTAATATTCGAGCGACGAATATTTCGCAGAAAGAAAGATAAATGGATATGCGGCGATCTTCTACAAAAATAAATAGGAGACAATTTTTATTTTTATTTTTTTCATAAGTAAGAATTATTTTAGAATTAGTACACATAATTATCTATTGCGTGAATGAAATTTTTTGGCAAACCAAAAATTTTGTTATATTTAAACATCTATTTTTAAATAGATTTAGATACATTTATTCCGATTTTTAATTAATTGGTAATTAATTCAAAAATTATTTTAAAATTAGTTCGTGAATTAACTTAAAAAATGAGTCAGGAAATAGAAATTTAAATACGACAGATTTAATAAAAAATATCATACGTCTAATAAAGATATTCATAGAAGAAATATAGGAACACAAATGATAAAACGATACATATAATAATAAAACAATAACAAGAA